ACCAGAGGATGGGAAGGGCAGGGGGACAGTTGTGGGGACAGGGAGACATTTGTTAAAGGATAGGAAACTCCGGCCGGGTGTGGTGGCTCACGCCTGTAATCCCAGCACTTTGGGAGGTGGAGGCAGGTGGATCATGAGGTCAGGAGATCAACACCATCCTGGCTAACATGGTGAAACCCTGTCTCTACTAAAAATACAAAAAATTAGCCAGGCGTGGTGGCAGGTGCCTATAGTCCCAGCTACTTGGGAGGTAGAGGTTGCAGTGAGCCGAGATCGCACCACTGCACTTCTGGGCAAAAGAGCAAGACTCTGTCTCAAGAAAGAAAGAAAGAAAGAGAGAGAGAGAGAGAGGAAGGAAGAAAGAAAGAAAAAGAAAAGAGAAGAAAGAAAAAGAAAGAGAAAGAAAGAAAAAAGAAAGAAGAAGAAAGCAAGCAAGCAAGCAGGCAAGAAAGAAAAAAGAAGAAAGAAAGAAAGAAAGAAAGAAAGAAAGAAAGAAAGAAAGAAAGAAAGAAAGAAAGAGAGAAAAAGAAAAACAAAGAAAGAAAGAAAGAAGACCTCCATCAATGACCTCAGCCGGATCTTGTGGAGAACTTACTGCAGCTTCTCCACCAGCAGTCGTGGCTTCACCCTCCGCTTTATGCTGTGGAGATGACTGCTTTCCTAAAACCTCATGAACCAATCTCTGCTAGCTTCAAACTCTTCTCTGCAGCTTCCTCAACTCTGTCAGCCTGCACAGAATTGCAGAGCTAGGGCTTTGCTGTGGATTCGGCTGTGGCTTAAGGGAATGCCGTGCTGGTTTGATCTCTCCAGACCTCTCAAACTCTCTCCATATCAGCAATAAGGCTCTTTCACTCTCTAATCATTTGTGTTCACTGGTGTGGCACTTTTTTTTGAGACGAAGTCTTGCTCTGTCGCCAGGCTGAAGTGCAGCGGCGTGATCTCGGCTCACTGCAACCTCCAAATTAACTGAGGGTGGTGTAGCATGCCTGCAATCCCAGCTACATGGGAGGCTGGGGCAGGAACACTGCTTGACCCGGGAGGTGGAGGTTGCAGTGAGCTTAGATGGTGCAGTGAACCTGGGTGACAGGGCAAGAGTCTGTCTCAAAACAATGACATAAAATTGAAAAAAATAAAGTGAGAGGCGTGAGACTCTTGTTTTCACTTGAGCACTTAGAGGCCACCGTAAGGCTTTGTTTTTCTTTCCTTTTTTTGAGACAGGGTCTCACTCTATCACCCAGGCTGGAGTGTAGTGGGACAATCACGGCTTACTGCAGCCTCAGCCTCACAGGTTCAAGTGATCCTCCTGCTCCGACTAATTCTTGCTTTTTTTTCTTATTTTTATTTTGTAGAGATAGGGCTTCACCATGCTGCCTAGGCTAGACTTGAACTCCTGGGCTCAAGTGATCTACCCACCTCAGCCTCCCAAAGTGCTGGGATTACAGGCATGAGCCACCACGCCTAGCAAGGTCGCCACCTGTTAATCCATGTTTCAGCCAATGAAACAAAGGGTCAGAGCCCTTCCTACCGCCACCAGCTGCGGCACCAAATGCACAATCTCTGCTAGTGGCCCACACTCATAAACTCAACCTGACCCAACGTTCTGTCATTTGGGAACCCAATGTCTCCAGCCTGGCCAGCGTCTTCCCGTGTCCCTATCCCAACTTGAATGATCCCATCCTTTGCCACCCCATGTCCTCACTTTTTTTCCTTTTTACATAGAGATGGAGTCTTTCTACATTGCCCAGGCTGGTCTCAAACTCCTGGGCTCAAGCGATGCTCCTACCTCAGCCTCCAAAAATGCTGGGGTTATAGTTGTGAACCACGGCATCTGACCCAGGTGCCCCCACTTTCAAAGAAGACATCCAGCATGCTGAGAGCTCAGCCTTTGTTGTAACTCCGCCAATCGCGTGAGAGCTGGTGCTCCATTGTCTACAATTTCAACCCTGTGGCTACAGGAGAGAAGAGTCCGACCCAGGGCACACCAAGAAACTCTCAGATCATTTATGCAGAGCTGCAGCCAGACACTGAATCCCTGAGTTCATTCTTTTCTCCGCTTTCTCGGTGATGCTGGGAGCAACGAAACAGCATCATTCTATTTTTTGGTTTTCGATACATGTGTAAAAGCATCACACACAGAGACACCAAATTCCTGGCCTCTTACGAGTGGTGAATTAGGAGTTTCAAGTGCACTTGCTTTGCATGCCTTTATAAACAGTTCATGCTGCGAAATACCAGTGCTGTCTGCACTGTATTAACAGAAGTAGAGTCCTCAGGCCGGGCGCGGCGACATGCCTATGATCTCAGCACTTTGGGAGGCCAAGGCAGGTAGATCACCTGAGGTCAGGAGTTTGAGATCAGCCTGGCCAACATGGCAAAACCCCATCTCTACTAAAACTACAATGAGCTGGGCGTGGTGGTGCACATCTGTAATCCCAGCTACTTGGAGGCTGAGGCAGGAGAATCGCTTCAACCCAGGAGGCAGACATTGCGGTGAGCCATGGCTATGCCATCGCACTCCAGCCTGGGCAATAAAAGCCAAAAACTTGGCCAGGCGCAGTGGCTCATGCCTATAATCCCAGACCTTTGGGAGGCCAAGGCAGGCGGATCACGAGGTCAGGAGTTCAAGACCAGCCTGACCAATCATGGTGAAACCCTGTCTCTACTAAAAATACAAAAATTAGCCAGGTGTGGTGGCATGCGCCTGTAATCCCAGCTACTTGGGAGGCTGAGGCAGGAG